TTAGCAGAGAGGCGGGCTATAAATAAAAATTATTATTATTATTATTATACGCAAAAAGGTTGCAGGGAGAATGAACCATTGCAAACAACAACAAAAAGTCCCAATAGTTGCTGGGATTTGTAGCCTCCTGACCTTGAGATGCTAGGTATTTGATTGCTCGGTGTTTCTTGTTTAAGAGATGTTGGTTTCTCCACCACGGTTCCTTGTTCTGATCACTTTCCACAAATAATGGGGTGTGTGTGTTTGTGTTTGTGTGTCTCCATCCCTGCTGTGAATCTTATCAATTTGCTTGAAAAAAAGCAAACACCTTTCCTTGGTTTCTTTCAGTTTGTGATCATCATTGATAGCTTCCCCCCTCCCTGCAAGAGCTATCTAAAGTGGGGCTCTGTTCAATAAGTTGCTTGAGTGAGACGAAAGCATTAAAAAGCATCCCCAGAAATGTTATAAACCACCCAGAATCCCTGGCTGGAGCTGCAATCTGTCAGTATTGATCCATAATGGCACTGAGCTTAGTAAGCCCTTGTCAAACTGCATCTAACAGGAAAAAGAAAAAGAAAACCCAACAACAACATCCAGACACCTTCCAAATAAATACATCTCTCATTCTTCTTATTTATTTTTAAAAAGAGTAATACAGTGGCACTGTGCAGGGCTACGCGGGGAGGTGGAATTACTGAAGTGTTTGGGCTTTTTAACTTAGGAGGAAAGTAACACGGGGAAGGGGAGTGATGGAGGGATAAAAATGATGAATGGCATGAGAGCTCGGGGCAGTCAATGAAATGGATCAGCAAAGAGGTTCAAGAGACCCACAAATATGGTTTATACAGTGCTGGAGATCCTGCATCAAGGAGGCAGAGTGTAACTGGAGGAGAGGCTGCTGATGCTTACTGGTGGCAAAATGGCGCAAGGGCTCAATGGCGCAACTGCGCAATGAAAATGGCAATTCAGAAGAAGACGAAGCCGCCGCTGGTCTGGGCTGGGCTCTGAGTACGAAAGAAATGAAGGTGTATTTGAGGCTACAGGATAACCCTCTGCACCCTGTAAAAAAGAAGTCATACACATTGTCATTGTGTATCTTCAGGTTATGGTGACCCTAAAGCAACCCTATTGTGGGTCTTCTTGGCAATATTTGTTCAGAGGAGGTTTGCCGTGGCTTTCCCCTGAGGCTGAGAGGGTGTGACTTGCCCAAGGTCACCCAGTGGGTTTACATGGCCGTGCCGGGATTCAAACCCTGGTCTTCAGAGTCGTTGTCTAATGCTCAAACCGCTACGCCAAACTGGCTTGCATAAGTCATTCAAAGGAATCCGGTTGTCTGTTTCACCCCATGCAAATTCCAAGCAAGGTTACAGAGGTGACGGCTACCGCTTTTGATGGACTTTGCAGGGACTTGGACATATCAGCTGAGGGGCTAGGAAATGTAAAAGTTCACATGTTGACTTTTTCGGTTCTCCTGGCTGCCCCCATGGATGGCCTGGGCAAGAAGGCTCCATGAGTCCCTGCAGAGAGACCATCCGTCCATCCATAAATCAAGAGGGAATTAGCAAGGGGCCTTCGGCTAAGACACAGCAGACCAGTGAGGTGTGAATGCACTGGCTTCCCCACCTGAAATTTACAGCCTTTCTTTGCGCCAAACTATTTTTCACACTGGAGCTTGATAATGAACGAGGAGCTAGAACGATCCAAAGGGTTGCCCATCCGTCTTGGGTTGTCTCCCCCCCCCCAACAGATTTAATAGACAGCCGCAGTGTCAACAAGGACATTTATAACCATTAAAGCCAAGCAAAACCTCCTCTTGCTCTCATAAAAAGACGTTGGGAAGGAAGGCGTCAAAGCCAAGGGGAAGAAAGAGAGATTTCTGGGGGTGGTCCAAATCTTGAAGTTTGGACTCAAAGGAGCATTTGGTTCCAGGCCAATACTGGAAACTTATTTATTTAATTTATATGCCACCTTTCTCCTAATTTGTACCCCACCCAGGTAGCTCACAAAAGATATGTTAAAAAACAATACAGTGTCGTTGTTTGAGTGTTGGACTAGGACTCTAGAGACCAGGGTTTGAATCCCAGCTTGGCTATGAAACCCACTGGGTGACCTTGGGCTAGTCACACTCTCTCAGCCCCAGAGGATGGCAATGGCAACCCCCTTCTAAAGAAACTTGACAAGAAAACTGCATGATGACACATTCACCTTAGGGTCCCCATAAGTTGGGAATGACTTGAAAGCACACAACAACAACAGCAAACAACTGAAAAGCACAGTTAAAGAAAGGAGTTACTAGTGGCGTCCTCTGTTGTTCTCTGACTTGTGCAATCTGCATTTCTGCTGATGGGATTTTGGGAATGTAGAACAGGTGTCAAGGCTGGCTACATTTTGTGGCAGCTCTCAGCCTGATATTGTGTGAATCCGGAATGTGTTTCCTAATAAAGTTGCCATTTGAGTTGCCAGCCTTGGCTTCTGTATAAATGTATAAACCCTGATTGGGTTTCCAAAGGGCGGGATATAAATAAATTTTATTATTATTATTATTATTATTATTATTATTATTATTATTATTATTATTATTATTATTTATTATTGGTCTGGCATCGTGTAGGTGCTCCTCCTTTGGAACAGGAACCAGGGAACCTAGTACCAGAGGGTTGTATCACAACTCATCCCATAAGCTTTGAAGAACCACTTGCAGGGAAGTCAGATATAGAAAGGCTTCTGGCTCTAGGAGATGATGCTCACACCTGAATCTGAGCAGCCGGTTTTCAATGCAACGGATGAAGAACTTCTGTAGGGGGGCCTCCATCTCCGTTGGAGTTGAGGAACACTGAGGAGACACCCCCTTCACTTGTGGAAAGCTGTCAAGATAAACAACAATGGTGGAGGACCCAATCCCTTTTAAATAAGAAACGCTGAGCAATCAAGCACCTGGCATCCCAAGGTCAAGGAGCTACAAATCCCACAGCAGCTGCTGAGAGTTTTTGTTGTTTGCAAATGTTTGTTCTCCTTGGCTTTTGTGCATTTCCTACTAATGGAATTATTTGGGTTCTTGACCCTTGGGTTGGCTTACAATATAGGCTTCCCTTGTGGCTTTGGTTATCCCGACTGCTGGTTTCTTGGGATGGAGTCTGGAATGGCTTAGAGCCAGTGATTTCCAAACTTTGGTTTTCCAGGTTTTTGGACTTCAACCCCCAGAAGCCCCAGCCACCTTGGCCAACAGTCAGGAATTCTGGGAGCTGAAGTCCAAAGGCCAAAGTTTGGGAACCACTGACTTAGACTTAGGGTTCCCCTTTAACTTTGATTACCTGTATATGACCTGGACCGTCCTGACTCACCTGTAATGTCTTTTCCCTATTATAGCTCTGCCTTTCCAGCTTTTACACACAAGACAGTTTCTATGGTAGATTTCATCTGCATCCCTGAACGGGCATCACTTTCCATTTGTTTACTTTGAACCGAAGCTCTTGGGCAGGGGTAGGCAACCTTTCCCCTTTAAGGGCCAAGGAGGGACTTCAGCTCCCAGAATCCCAGGAGCTATTGGCCAACAAGGGACTATTATAGGCCAACATGGCTGAGGCTTCTGGGAGCTGAAGTCCCTCCTTGGCCCTTAAAGGGGAAAGGTTTTTTACCCCTGCTCTTGGGAATCAGCCTTCTCCGTCAAGAGGGATGGGGAAATGAAGAGAAAAGTCTCAATATTGTTTTTGAGCATTCTGTTGTGAAGACCTGACAATTAACATTCTAGGAACAGAAACGCATCTAAATATTTTGCAGTTAGCTCTCTCTTTTCTCTGCGTTGACAGCTACTTCTCAGCAGCAGCAATTAATTCTTATTTATCTTTGTTCAAATGAACAATTGCACTTGGCTCTACTAGAATTTAGATACTAGAGTTCATTTTTTTCTCCCCTTTCACATATCATCCTTGGGAAAGACAAGCAAGGCAAGGGACTCGGGTGGGATGGAAAGACTTAAGAGCCTGACATGCCACCATCAGATCTCTTTCTGCGCATCTCTTCTCTTCTCTTGGTTTTTGCATGCACTAGCCTCATGTGTCGGTGCATTGCTTCATTGACTTTAGACGTGACGCGCTTTCAAATGGTAGGAGAGTTTGCTTATTGACTTCTGTATCATCGTGTGGCACAAGTGAGGATGTTTTATGAAAGCAGAACGATTTAGAAGATCACTGAATCAAAAAATGCAGCTAATCATATTCCCAAAACAGAGAACAAACATATTAATGGGAGATGGTCTGTTTAAGGGATTATTATTATTATTATTATTATTATTTTAAAAAATAAATTCCCCAACACCCTGGAAAGTCTATCAGGAGTAATAATGGAGCAGTGAGGTTTTTGTGCAGCCTTTTCCTACTATTCAAATACACTGGGCCCTTTATATCTGCTAGGGTTTGGTTCCAGGACCCTTTTTGGGGACACCAAAATCCATGGATGCTCAAGTCCTATTAAATACAATGGTATTGTGAAATGGGGTCCTTTATATAAAATGGCAAAGTCAAGACTTGCTTACTTGAATTTGTGTGTGTGTGTGTGTATATATATATATATATATATATATA